GTTTCAACTTCTGATTGGATGTATGAAAATATTATCACTGATTGGGCAAAAAATAGATTATGTAACTTTTTGCTATCAAGATGTAACATAAAAATAGGTGCTGCCAAGTGAAAGACCTAATTTTCCCTCAAGTTCTGATTGGATATATGAAATACTATTTCCAATTGGATAAAATAGATCATGTAACTCTTAGCACTGCCATAAGGTAAAATTTCGATTAACACATTTCTGTTATAATTATTATAATTTTAGTTTTACAGTTACCAAGAGAAGCAAAAATTTCACAGAATTAAAATGTAATTTTTAAACTAAATAAAAAATGTGTGTACTGGTTGCTCAAGTAAAAAAATTTTTTTATTCAATATTTCAAATGTTATAAGGTAATTTTTTTTAAAATAAATAAATAAATAAAATGTCTTAAATATTTATCATTGTGCATACTAGTTGCTTAAAAATTTTTTATTTTTATTTAATACTTCATTAAGAATACAAATTTTTTCTAGGGTGGCATCTACAATTAATGTTAAACCAGTATTGTTATAAGGACCTTAATGATAATACAAATATAATACTATATAGCATTTCTTATTTTTATACAATACAAATATAATACAATAATAGTTTAATATAAATTGTGAATGCTGTCCTAATGAAATTTCGAAGCACAGTTAACTTTAAAGGTTTACATTAGTTCTATAAATTCATATTATAATTATATTAATATGTGTGCACTAACTTGTAAGTAAAGTAAAAATCATATCATTCTTATATAAAAGGATTTTGTATATATTTATATAAATACAATACAATTATAATAAAAAACTTGTAGCTACTAAAGTCAGGAAGGTCTTTGTCTTGAATGAACATAAACAGTTATAATATTCATCTTGTATTTTTTGTTTGTGAATTAATTCTACTAATTTTTAAAACAAATAGCTTCAAATTATTAGATTTTACTTCACTAGTCCTAATTAGTAAATTTAAACATATGTGTATACAAAAATGAATAAAATTAATACTTATTTTGGTATCTAATTTTTGTTTTTTTTTGATTTTTTTTAAAATATTAAGGTAAGTACTTGCAATTTAGGATTTTATTGATAGTATATTTGGCTTATAGTTGCATTACAAATACAGAAGGCAATCATAAAAAGAGTATACAACTAGCTACTTGTATAACTTTAGTTATTGTCTAATTTAAGTAGTCCATCTAAAGGGTTTACACTAGCTGCATATCTGAAACCTGCTTGTAGGTTTCCTATTTAACCACTTTAGTTTCCATATCCACCCACCTACCTCTGTCTATCAACAACCCTGGCTGATGCAAGTAAAAATATGTTATGATCACTAAGTCTTTAAAGCAGTTTTTTAGAACCTTTAATCTTGTACCAAATCTTTCAGAATCTTCTGTATCCTATTCTTACAGCTGACTTGGTATCACTATAGCTGAGACCAATACTAGCAGTCAAGGCATACTATTAAACTGCTATGCCCTTGTAGAGTTTACCCTAATCCTAGTACTTACTTCATAATATATCCTTATTACTTTGGTATTCAATTCAAGTTCCACCAAGCTGCTATTCTAGATAGTCTGAAAAGGTAGGTTAAAACTATATACTTCTGGTTTACATGTTTGCTAACATGTATTCTTTTTCTTCAAAACCCAGAAATTTTAGCAGCCTGGTTAGTTTATCTGGTTCTTTCTCAAAGACTGGCACATTTGTCTGGTTTCACAAGTTTTAGCTTTGTTTTATTAGTCTTTACAGTAGCATTGTCGAAAGTTTGGGTTACCTCTTTACTCAGATCTTCCAAGTGGGCTTCTATCTTTCTTTTTTTAGTTTTTATGATTTACATAGTCATGAGAACTTATTGTAGGTTTGCACTGCTTGGTACTAGTTTGCATTTCTTTGTGTAATTACAGATCTTGTTCCAAATAATGATATCATATAACTGTTATACAAATGCCATGTGATTTGTTAGTTATGCTAATGTGATACAGGTAACAGGTATCTTATTTTAACTAATTGTGAGAGACAGTTAATTGTAATATAGAAAAATTTTCAAATTTTTTATCAATACTGGAATTTGAACTCTGGACCTGTCACTTGGGGGTTGACAACTTAACCACTTCATTAGGTCACCATACCTTGTATCTAATTTTTGTATTTGGTATTATTTGATTAATTTAATGAATTCTTTGTTTATTATCAATAATGACTTGTGAAATTGATTCAATTCTTGCAATCCTTTCTCATTCCATTTGAACCATATTTTGTAATATCATATGTAGATTATAAATATCATTACCTTTTTTATTTTTCTATTTTATAGAAATTGCAATAAGCTCTTTGCTTAATTGTTCAAGTTGAAAATCCTTATCTGTTAAAGAATTATAAGTATTAGAAGAACTAAATTCCATGTTTTCAAATAATAGTTGGTCATTTTTTAGATTTTTATCATTCATATGATTTTGTGACAGGATGTCAAACACATGTTTGCAGAGCAATTGCTGTAATTGAAAATTATAACAATTGCAAACATATGAAGAAATATCAAAGTTATTATCGTTTGTTATAATATCTTTTTTTCTAACTGAATATTCTATATCTTTGTTTATTAAAGAATATATTATTCATATATTAGACTAGATATTAAAAATATTATTTTTATTAATACATTTTGTACTAGCAATTTCTCAAATACACTGCTGATACCATTATAGATTTATTTTGCCTATTTTTAGTTTATTTAGGAAAACTGAAAAATTTATATCTTGAAGTACAACTTCTATAAGAAGATGTACTTCACCATCAAGTTATCTACTTATATAAAAAGAAATTAAAATTAAAAAAGAAAAAATTAAATAAAAAATTATTAAAAATTAAAAAAATATTTAAAAATTAAAAAAAAAATTAAAAAAAAAGACAAGAAAATTAAAAAAAAAAACTAAAAAAAATTAAAAAAATAAAAGAAAATTTAACTACCAGAAATTTTTTTAATCATTTAACTGTTTGATTCAGCTGGCAATAATTAATTCTAATATATAATAAATATAGTTTTGCTTGGCACAATTTTTATGCAATTAAATAGTTTCAACTATTAATAGTAATTGAAAAAAAATTGTTTAAGTACATAGAAGATCGATACTTGATTTACATATGTATATACTTATTGTTTACCAAATTTTGATAAATAATATGTATGTAAGTCAAGTATAAATCTTTATTCAATATATTAAAGTAATCTGTATATACAATATATGAAATATACTCGAAATTTTTTTCTATATACAAGTGCAAAAAAAAAAATTTTTTTTTAAAAAAAAAATTAAAATTGTTTGATTATGTTAATATACAGAAGTTATATATTATAATTAGTCGACTAAAACATTTAGTCTTACCTAGGCATCCTCTTAAGTAAACATATTTTAATTTATAATAAAAGAATTTAATTAGATTATTTGTATCCATCATATCTTTAGCAAATTCTCTAAAACTAACCATTAACTTTTTATACTTAGGCCTTTATCAACATTCAAAATAGTTGGCAAAATTATTTATCTCATTAATGCCTATTGCCCTCCACTAATTAATTGCTTCTATGAGCTGTGTTTGGACTTTTGTGTCAGTCCATTCCTCTTTTTTTAATAATCTTCAAAGATCTTTTCAAACAATTTCTTTTAATAGATTGTTATTTGTGCTATGTTTATAACCAAGTTTTCTGTGCCAAGACTGTAACACATAGAAGTAATACAGAAATACAGAACTATTAGAAAAGCTTTCTTGTAATGCTTTGATTTCTTTACCTGCATCATCAACTATAAAGATATCTGAACTCTATCTCTTGTTTTTGTACTTTATAAAATCAAATCATTTTTTTAATATTTGCATTTGTTTAAATTCACTTATTAAGAACATGACAGGATATTTACTACCTACTATCAGATGCTTTATTACAAGTGAGAACAAATGATAACTATAATGATTTATTTTATAAGTTCTATCTAAATATATAACTCTTGCAGACTCTATTAGTTCTCTCTGCTCTTTAGTTTGGAATATATAATCAATCTGTTTTGCAATATTTGTATATTTGCAAATGATTTTTAGAGTTAAATAAATGCATTTAAAAGAAAAAAAATATATATTTAATTAAAAAAATATATATAAAAGAAAAAAAATTTAAATTTAAAAAATAACAAAATAAATAAATAAAAAATAAATAAAATAAATAATAAAATAAGATAATAAATATAAAAAAATTGATTTGTTGCAAGAAAAAACAGTTTGAATTTTTATTAGAATTGTTTTTATTGTAGGGTCATAATTTGTAAATATTTTGACTTAGAATTTTTGAGATTTTTGTATTATGCAATTAATTTATTATAAAAAATCATATACAAGACCTGGGTCTTTTATATTCTACCAAAAAAATTAATTAGTAAAAAAAAAAAATTAATTAGTAAAAAATAAGGATGGGTCTGATATATGAGGGATCTTGTATATAATCTTTTACAGTACTTGGGATTGTAACTATCAGAAATAGATAGATTGCTTAAAAAAAAAAAATTTAAAAAAATAATAATAAAAGTTAAAAATAATAAAGTAATAAAAAAAGAACAAAACCTGATTTTGTAGCTTGATGGCCTAAGAATGTATAATTTTATAAATACTAAAAATGCCAAGCCCTTCAAGAGCACACTGTTGGATAAACTGTCAAATCTTTTCAGAAAGAGGCAATATATATAAATCTAATAGTTTATTAGAATAATAGTTATGATGTTTATAATAATATTTTAAGATAATCATTAAAGAATTTACAGAAAACACAACATGAATGTAACTTTTACATCTGCATTTTTTCATTTTTTTTTGTACCAATCATAGTTTTTTGTTTGCATTTTTTCTAGCAACACTTTTGTAAACATCATAACAATAGCAATACCATTGTTTATTTTATTTGTTTTTCCTTTTTGCATCTATATTTGTTCAATAATTATATCAGTAATAACTAAGACTTGCTTTTTCAAATCTTTTTATCCACTCTTTATATTTATCTATAGGAAAATAGTAGAATTTTACTTTTTCTGTCTCTGAACTTTCTTCATTATTATCATCAACTATTTCCTATGCTTAACTAATGCTGTTAGTTGCATTTAGAATATAATCAAGCATGCTATCAAGTTTATTGTCACCTATATCTATATCCATATATCTTCAATATCAAAAAGATTGTTAATATTAGGAGAAATTAATATTATGAACAAAATACAAATATATATGATCTTAGAATAGTTTTAGAATATTAGTTTTATTAACAATTTTTGCACAATACAACAAATATTTGATACAAATAGTTTAAAAACAATTAAAAGAGCTATAAAATAGTTTAATCAATTATGAAGAATTACTATAGCAAAAGAATTGTTAAATATTAATACTAAAGAACTAGAAGAATTATTTAAAAGAATTAAAAAATTTTTTTAATAATGTAATTATTACAAAAATATTGATTATTTGATTTGATACTTAATGTGATGCATAATAATAGTTTTTAGCTATCCAACCTATGATATAATCTATTTTATCTAATAAGAGAGGAAATTTGCCTTCATCTAATGAGAATTTGAAGGGAAAATTAGTAAATTTCTGCCAAGTAAAAACCTAACATTCTAAAAATAGATTTTTACAAACAAAGAAATATGAATTTTAAATAATACTACTATGTGATCAAAATAATAGTATAATTCATTATTTTAATTAAATTAGTTAAAACTTCGCATTTTATTGTCTATAGAAACCTATTTTTAGAATGTCAGATTTTTATTTAGCAGCACTCAAATGATAAAAAAACTCAAGTTTTTTGCAATTTATTATATAATTGAGAGCATTGTATAATTTATAATCATTAGTTATTTACTTTTGCAGAACTATTATACTAATAATATATTGCCAATATATAATAAAATAAAAAGTACATAATAGAAGATAAGTATTTCATTATTTATTTGTTTTTGCTATAAGCACTAAACAAAGCAAATCTGAGCAAGTCTGACTAGATTAAGGTATTGAAAAATTTTGCTAATGTATTTGCAAAAGTATATACAAATTTTTTGATAGTATTATAGATGAAAGCCTTCTTAATTTTCATACTATAACAATGACACAGCATAGGAAATCCTTTATGGGTATATGTGATGTTCAAGAGAGAAGTATAGCTTCTGTCAAACATTGTCAAGAAACTATACTCTTCTCTGAGGCAGTTTAGGAAAGGTAATGCAATACTAATAACTTTACTTTATTTCATTAAGAGAAGATAAATCTTGCCTATAGAAATTATCCTAGAGGGAGGGTATCAATACAGTTTATAATCAAAAGCCATTTATTAAAGTAATAACAAGAAGAGCTATCCTTAGATTTTTGTTTCTAAAGAATCCCAAGATGTGTTTACAATATTAAAGGAAAGAGGAGTGTCTGTTGCTTAATTGCACTTGGGGAATTTAGCAGGGTTTATATATCTGTGAGCTAAGCAGTCAAGCAACTAAGTGATTAAATGACTAAGCGACTAAGTGACTAAGCAATTACTAAGCAACTGGAAGGTTCTAACAGCTAATGACTAATAATTACT